TACAAAATCAATAAGCCGCCCTCAGCCTGGCTGAAGGTGAACGTATCTTTGCTTCCGCTCGGGCATTGGATAAATGAGTCCTTGAAATAATTTCGAAATTCAGAGAAAAAGGCATGTATGTATTTGTCTGCCAAAATTATCGTAAAAATCGAAATAACCTCATTGTTATGCAGAATTAAGTAAAAGACATACATATATTTGGTATGGAATTATCTCCTTATCATGACACATTTTAGCGCATTCATATATATTTACATTTATAATATCATATACATATATATAAATATTTGTATATACATGTATCGGGATATCTCACACAATCAATAAAATTTTGCCGTTTTGTTCGCTTTTGATTTGTAACGGTCTGATTGGAAGTCGCGCGCATAACAAAAGCTCCAATCGAAAGCTTTCATTCAGTTTGAGAGCAGTACTCGACAGCAGTGAATGCAATGCTACTCAAACTGTGGATCAGAAACAGTTCATGCCGAACTGTAACTGTTTGTTATTTGGCAGCCTGAACAATATCTTAAAACATATTCTTTGAGTTATTCAACAGGTGCAAAGACCTTAAATACAGTTGTTTTTTCGTCTCATCTGAGCACTGAAATTGTAGCTTACCTAAAATCGAATTATTAGTTGAAATATATATTATATTATATTATAACAGTCGCCTAACAATTTATGAGCATGCATTGCGTAAAGTATCTGAAAGAAATCTTAAACCAATATGTCCCAAAACTGTTCGTGTCTGTTGATTTTTCTTGGTGTCAAATACTTTATGAACATGGAAACGACAACAAGGCCAGGCAATAAAACGGTTTCTAATCTTGTCTGTGCTTATCAGCGTAACTGAAACATGCGTCTATCAATACTCCAAAACTGGGCTCAATATATACGTATACATACATACATATATGTACATAAGCATGAGCCATACGTATTGCACTAATCTATGATGACTTATCGCTAGTTCCCGCGCCTTATCGTATTATGTCACTTGGTGTTATATTCGCCGCTAAATCGCTTTATGACCCGCGCGATATCAGTTCTTCAGATATGGTGCGCTTGTTTTCGGCTATTATTTATGTATGCACCAGAAATTGTTTATTGAGTGCAGTGTTGATATTTTGTACTCCACATTTGATTGACAGCTCGTATAGTCGAAAGCGTTCCATCATTGACCTAAACGCCACAATAGTACACGCCCACATTTAATAGAGCTAAGCGTGTGCGTTAACGAGCAATTTCCTTATTAAATTCACGAAAATAAAAAAAGAATTAAATATATGAATAGAGCGCCATAAAAAAAGCTTAAAATGGAGGAGCATTTACCTAGCTGAGCATTTATTGGGCCCAATTGAGCGCACTTTTGTTTTATTCAACGTAATCTTTACGATACTCGCACTGGGATAGAAACTATGACAGGAGAGATTTTGCCAAACTAGATACCAGCCAGGGTCTATTAACTAGAAATACCCGGCGAGTGTTTCAAGAAGTTCAGCGTATAAAAAGGTTCTTAAATGAGAAAACTCTAAGAAAAGCTCTTGAATTCCTGATAGTTAATCTGATTATGTAGTCCGAAGTGTATCTGCGAGTCGACGCCTCTCGACTTTGGTATATATATTTAAATTTGCATGGTAACTTCTATTTATTTAATTATATTATTCATAACTATTGATTAGTTGATTATTGGCAAAATCAGGGTTTTATAAATAAATGATCTTGTGGTTTCCAGAACAAAGGGCAGCTTAATCAGGTCTCCGTTCTTGAAATTAATCGTTACCACACTTCTTTACGTCAGTCAACCATGAGCTCATGCCAAGTATTTTGTAAGAGCCGATTGCACAGGTTCAAGTTCAAAGACTTTATATCTTGGACTATGAATTTGCGTAAGGCGACGACGATTGCAACAATTATAAAACACATTTTCTCTCTTATTTTCCTGTTTAATTAATCTCTATGTATTTGTTTATACTTATGTATGGATGTAGTACATTTGACGCAAGCAATTGGCGGATTGAAGAGATAGCCTCTGTGTGATTAGACTGAGCCGCAAGTGCCGTTCACATGTGCTCAGTTCAAGAGGTGAGTGGGGGAGTGACCTGCCTGAGTTATCACATGACATTGGGCAACGCTGACAACAATAATAACTGACAACGACAAGCGACAACAAGGGTTCAAGCGGGTTATCAATGCCCGGCAAGAGGCCCGTCGCCGTTGCCGGGATTTCAATTAAATTCAGTACTTGGGGAATTTTTGCCGTTTTCTACTACGGGCTGTGCCCCTCTTTCTCGGAAAATATGGCAAGGTCTACGGATCGAGCTATGTTCAAAGTACATACAGGTTTATTGTGATAAGCTTTCCCTAACGGTAGCTGTACCTATATTCAGTCTGCTGCTGATAAGCGCAGAGGATGTTAAAAGTAACTAAATAGGCCTCAACTATTATATAAGATGATTAAAGCACGTGTCTAACAATTTGGTAGAAATACGTTGGCTCGGAACTAAACCCTTTTAGATATCTAGACACGAGTACATCTTATTGGTTCAAGTGTGTGCTTCAGCTTTAAATTTTTCCCACTCATCTGACACTTTAGTCAAGAGCTCTGTACTCAAACCTGAGCAGCCCTTCATATTAATTGTTCGTTCCTACGTTCCTATGATATGGCCTGATCCTTAAGTTCTTACCTTTCCTGCAAGTATATAGTTAGATATTTTCTATTCTATTTGCTAAAGCAATTGCGCGCCATATCAAACAACATATTTAAGCTATTTTGCCACTTTATCAATTTGTCATTATTAATGCTACCATTATATATTGTTCAACTCTTATCTACAAATAACAAATAATTGTTTACCAATAAATGATTGTTAACAACTTATCAGAGAGGGACAGGTAAATCAAAGGATTATGCATGTGTTTAACTTAACATTCTCAATGAGAAACTTTCGACAATTTATAGTCTAGAGTTCAGGGTTTTATTCCATTAAGTATGTTGCTGACATTTGATTTTTAAGATGGTATTATACTTTAAAATGTATTCCTTTTTGTAAACCCGTTTCCAGCCGGACGCAGCTGTTATTTGTAGTATGTATTTGAAATTGAATTTGTCTGCTATTGTCTACTATTTGATCGTTATTTATTTACGCCTTAGACTCGGCATTATACGATATTAATTATTTTTACACCCAACTGTCAGTTCTATTAAACTGTTTGCCAATCGCGTGTTCCGCAGCTTGATACTTATAGTTAGTAGTACTAACTATGGCCCTCATATCTTTGAATAAAGTTTAAGTCGATCATATCCGAGTTATATTATGCCAAATTATGGCCAAGCCTCCCAAGCGATTTCAGAGGGACTGACTTACTTCCTCTTTAATTGTAAGTTCCGAAACATCTGAGTTATTTAAGGCATACTACCGAATGTTACCGGGTATATATAAATTTAAGCAATTATAGGGCAATAAATTTAAATACGATGACCGTTAAATATAAACCAAAACGAGTTTTAATTTTAGCAGATGTAACGAGCCGAACCGTTATATATGTATATTATCAACCTTTCTCAGAAGCTGAAACAGTTGTTAAAATAAACTTAAATGAATGACTGTTTTCTTATTTACTTACATTTTGCTTAGCTTAACTTGTTCTCAGTATTACGACAAAAGATCGAACACAAACATGGAAGTGCCCGTTTGAGGTTAAGTCAGATGTTAAGATATTAGGAAGTGCCCATTTGAGGTTAAGTCAGATGTTAAGATATAAAGAAGTGTCCGTTTGAGGTTAAGTCAGATGTTAAGATGTTCCCGTTTGAGGTTAAGTCAGATGTTAGGATATAAAGAAGTTCCCGTTTGAGGTTAAGTCAGATATTAAGATATTAAGAAGTGTCCGTTTGAGGTTAAGTCAGATAAATACTTTATCTAAGTAAGATTAATATCTTTCTCAACCTCAACCGAGAACTTCTATTTTAAGCTTACAACTTAATATGTCAATAATTAAAGAACCTAGCAGAAGATCTATATCCTCTATATGCTCATAGCTCGCGAAAGATTGATTTCCCTTGGAAATGTCACAAATAACAAAAGAGTAATAACTGACAATTACACTTTTCTAATATACTGCGCACTTCTATTAAGTAAAGTCGTAAAACATGAAAGAGAGTAAACTATAGAGCTCGAGCTGTTAGTGTGAAATAGTATATAAAATGATTCATGGTTTGCTTGTGGGGCTTTACTTTTCCGCAACAATAAAAAACTTTAGATAATGCAGCCTAAAAACCTTTTCAAAAAAAAACAAAAGCTACCTGTTCCGTAGTATATTTAATTTTGTATTGACATTAAATGTAGACAACTAAAGAAAAATAAGAGCAATTAAAATGGCCACACGTGACTTTCTTGCAGTTTCATTAAATAATATCATCCGATGCGAGTTTTGTTTACAATTTAGTTAAATTGTTTTGATTTGATATCAAGCCGTAAAATTCAAATAAGTACATTAGCGATGCTTATGAACGGCAGCTCGTCTATAAAAAGTAAATATTTAAAGTTGAAAATTCTTCTTTCGTATTAAGAAATTTTGCACACTTGCGCGTTTATACAGCTGTTGACATATCTTCTCTACAGTTCTTATGTATAGCATATATATATTTTATTTGAATTCAAAAATTTTCCATGTTTAAAGCGTGGGCAGCACCGACATCCGAAAGATTTCATGCCTACGTCATAGAAATACTCTTGATCTATATATTATGCGATTTTCTCTAGCGGATACACAATCTATTCTCATATGAAAAGTACATAAGATATAAACACATATTTGAACTTGATTTTGAGCATGATAAAATGTTGAAATCTTTGCCATTAAAGAAGTCTTTCAAGTGCTCTTGTCCTTACACGTTCCATAAATACTCTCGTATCTTTTGCTGTTCTCGCTTTTTTTCATTGATTACAATTCAATCGACTCTGCACTTTCTGCCAGGTAAGCTGAGTCAACGTGGGTAATGCCAAATGGCTGTAACTGTATCTGTGTGCAAATTGTTTACAAATTGCCTGTGAAAATGGAAATGCTTCCCTGACGTCATTTGGATACTAGTGCCACGCCTTGCGGCGCCCCGTTCAGAATCACCTGGCATTTGCATAGTGTTCACGTGAGTTACTTTTAGCACAAGATTTACCCCCCCTCCCACCGCTAATAATTAACGCAATTTATTATTTTTCCCAAATGCAAATTATATTTATATAAAAAAAAAACGCTAATATCATTATAAATCTCTCTTGTTTTCCATATGTAAGTTCCCTTATTGTGGGTGCACGGTAAATTGCAGTTATTTATCTATTTTCCGCGACACGTTAATTATAATGTTGTGTTTTTTTTTTCATTTGTTGAAATTTACAATACATTTTCATAAAAGCGCAATTTGTTTAAGTCGCAATGATTAACTTTAATGCAATTAAGAATAGAAAAACTACGTATTTGTACACATTAGCTCAATAGATCTGTGAAAGAATTTGTGTACAGGCTGAAATGCACGTATTTAAGACCACAATCTGTTCCATTCATTGGCAAATATTGTTTATCAGTCAATTTTACGACTTTAATAAACAAAAATCTTGATTATAACATTACGAAAATTTATAAACCTTATCATCAAACGACAACGGAACGAAATTCAAATCACAAAATCGTATGGCATGTACACGAAAACCTAGAGTACGTGATTGTTTTTCAGCATAAGAAAGTAGAAATAAAATCTAGCTCAGCTTTAGAATTACCAAGCCGTAATGGGGGATTTTATTTTGGTTTGGGAAAAATCTAATCTATTTAATTGCTTACTGGAATTTCTGACGGGAGATTCTAAAAAGCATTTGTCTATTTGCGTATTTTAAGTTGTGGGTAATATGCGCAATGCTTTTTCCCCATTAAAGCCTCTGGGCAACTTTTGTCAGCTTTTCAAATCTCGTTTACTTGCTCCGAAGATATGAAATGTGATTTAACGTGTGTTTCAATATGTCCGAGCATACATGTATGTAAATCATGTAGTTATGAATCAATTTGTTTTGCATAACGCTGACAACTGGCACGTTCCAGTGTCTCGCAAAATTTACGCTGACTTCAGCGATGTTTTCAACTTGGACCTTAATGTAACACGCCAAAATTTAACATGGCTCAGTTCTGAAATGCATGTTGCACCATTTGGTTAGAAGATACTACCTATAAGTCATAGGAATATGTTTATAATCAATTTTTAAAAATATACATAAATATTTGGGCACCTTATCTAATGCCAGCGCACTCTAGATATTTTCCAAGACTGACTTTTCTCTCAATTGCTTTAGTTTTTATTTTCATCCTCCTTTTTAAAGAGGCCAATTCGGAATAATTAAATTCCCTTTTCCTTCTATTAAGCACTTAAACGCTCGTAAAAGTGATCGCAACTACCGTTAATTTATTTACTCGCTTGCTTTTTTCCTTTCCCTTTATAGCTTGTACTTGTCATAATTATCATTTATCTTATTACGCAGAAACGTAACAATTGTCCGTCATTGGTTTAAGCAGTTCCTGTCAAACTGTACATGGGCCGGCGAATACTTACCGAAGAACAAAAACAAACACGAGTTCGCTTTGATGTTTACGCAGCCTCCAGCAGAAACTTTGAACTTGAATTGTCCTTTCTGGCGGCGGCAGGGTATGTTGTTCGGCTCTCGGTGCAAAGAAAGCGCGCGGTTATTATTTTAAAATATACGAAATTACAAGTCACAGAACTGTGCAGACAAAATTACAGTTCGTTTTTTATTTTTCTGTTTTTCTTTTTTGATTTTTTTTTTACACTGGCGATTGGAGCGAACACAAGCAGACGCACACACACAGACTTATATTATGGACATGGACATGGATAACGAAATCTGTTCTGGCTGCTGGTCTTTCAGCTCGTCGCCCGTTTTAGTTACCGCGCGCGACGAATTCGCTAAAACAACTGATATCGCTCAACAGAATTTCACGTTGAGGCGACAGCGCACAGTGATACGAGTGCCGCCAGTTGGCAGTTCAAAAGCTTATCTCACCCGTTGCATTAGCGCAACTTTGCACCCAACTGTTTAAACAGTGCCTATCAATACAAGAGCAAATGCTATTTTTAGATTTCGAATTTTTTATTTAGAAATTCTCAAATATTAATTTTATTTATGTTAATATATCATCAGTATTCTTTACTTTTAATTTTTCGTATATATGATTTTCTTTGTATTGTTTTTTTTTTTTTATTAAAAGCGAAGCACTGTGCTCGGCAGCGACGCACTTAGTGACAGAAGCAGAGATGTTGCGCCCAGCGTCAAAGCGGGAAAATTACGTTTATTTTTGTTAAACTTTGTTGTTATTTAATCTCAATGCTGGGTTTTAACTAATCGAATAAACGATGAATGTTGAAAAAATAAACGCATGACGTCAAATGCGGAATGAGACAGGAATTTGGGCAGGATGTGTGAATAATGGTATGCTTGAGTGAGTAAATACATGCACAGCAGATGTATGCATGTGTGTGTGTGTGTGCAGGGATGCTGTGGCCGACGTTTCACTTTGGCATTGTCCTTGGCAAAGGACGTAACTCTCGCATTTCGTTAGAGCTTACGCAAGGAACGTAAGCTTTGCACGTAATTGTTTGGCACTTCAGAGAACTTTTATGCATTGATACTTCAATTTTATCGTTTTATGAAAATGTCTTAGTCTTTTAGATAGCATTATTTGGGATTTACAATAAATGTATATTTTAATATATATTTCTTAGTTTGTTGGGGACCTATAATGCTTGTATTTGGTAAGTTTTTCATATAGAAACTTCATTTTCGACTGGATTTTCCTAGGACAGCTATATAATACTTTATTATATAGTTGGCACTGGAAAATATTGAATTATCGTGTTGAGTCGACTCCGACACATTTACTGCCTGCAGTAAAAAGACGGATATATAGCTTTGGGGCATATTAAAAGATATGGATCTATCGACAATAATATTAATACTGATAAAGAATATATGTACTTTATGGGCTGGGAAATGTCTTCTTTATCATATATACCCTCTTTATACCCTCTGCAAAGGTTTTAAGTCTCGCTCGATCTATCTCTTTTACTCTGCCTCCGAGGACTTTCTCTCGTTCAGTCGCTCCTCAGCAATCTTCTATGCGTTGTTCAATAATACGGGTATCAGTGAAATTTAGCATAAAATTTATTGGTTCGTTATTTCATTAAAAGCAGTTTTAGCAACATTTGTTTGGTGTCTTTCCATAATATGCATTATGTATTTAATATATTTGTGTACATACTCAATTTGCTTACATTTACAGTTTAATTGTTTAAATAATTGAAACAGTAGTTCTTTGTTGTTGTTGTTTTAATTGTTTTATCTGTGTATCTTAAGTTAAATAGAAGTTCCTACTCTTAGAAAACTGGTCTCATTTATGTGATTGCAACAATCACATTTTTGGTTAACATGTCACTTGGCGCTCCACCCTTAGCAATAGGCATAGAATAGTCGTAACTTAGTTAAAGCATTAAATTGTTTTCGGTTTTGTTAACGCCTGTGGTTTATTGCGCCTCAATTGCATTTGCATCCAAAGGTTCGTCGTCGGTAAAACCACAGAAACTCCACTTTGACTGCTCAGACTTAAAGAGATTTGTATATTTTGTGAGTATAGTCGCAAGTTCATCGGTGCTCTTCAGCTCCAGCGACTTAAGGAGCATTCCACGCAGATAGCTGGCAATGCTGGCAATGTCGACGCCATGGGGATGCAGCACCAGATATGCGGAAGTCAACGCTATTATCTTGGCTTCACCAAGCGCCAGCGACATGAAGTTGCTCTGCAAGTGAGTGTAATTAGTAAAATATGTAACTAGTAAGTCTTTATGCCAGACTAATGCTCCTACCTTTTGTGTGGGCAATGGTGCAGCTGTTTGCACGACTGTTTCCACGTTGTTAGAATTAGGGCATGGATCGGCTATGGGCAATTGTTTGGCTTCATCAACAACTTTATTTGGCTCTGGAGCTGGTTCCGATTTCTCATCGTCCTCGATTTCATGAATTTCGACCACGCCGCTTTGATGCTCAATAATGCGCACATCGTCGTCCACTTTATCAATATCAATTATTTCTAGCTCCAGCGCTGTGTCCTTCTTTTCCGTCGGCCTGAGATCATCCGCATTTCTGCTGCACGAGTCGCCGCTGCTGTAATCGACATTGGAAGCATTTGAAACGCTGGTGCTGTAGGCTTCCTTGTCTTTTAGCTTATCCGCAGTCTCCTTGATTTTGGTCTTGAGCAGCAGCTGTTTGACGCCCGCTTCCTTGAGATTCCGTTCGAGGTGCTCGATGGTTTTGCAGTCCTTCTGCTCGCGCAGCTTCGTCTGCAACAGCTGCGTCTGCATGTTGCGTATGGTCTCTTGCAGCACCTTGATTTGCTTCTCCCGCTGCACACAGTCGCTGCGGTCTACCGACATCTCATTGCGTATGGCCTCCAATTGACAGCGGAGCGAGTCGTTCTCATCCTAATGTAGGGAGTTAATAATTGAATAAACTTTAAATAAAATTAGGAACCAATTATTGCTGCTCACCTTGAGTCCATCGCTGTCGTAGCGGGTGCGTTTGCTGCGCCTCTCATAGTCGCGCTCATCATCTGAGATTTCCATTTCATCATCGTCGATTTGGACCGTGCGCAGTTCCTGTATGGCATTTCAAAATGTGTTTGTTTGTCGTTAAATAATTGCGATATATGAATCGAATAACTCTTGTTGCATAACCACAGCTTACGATGGTAATTTCTATAGCCTAAATTTTATAATTTGTTTGTATCTTGAAAATGCATCATAAAATTCTCATTTGGCTCTTTGTACTGTTTCGGTCCGCTTACTTACCTCGCCACATTTTAAAAAGCTCTCTTAATTTGTATCATTTTTTCCTTTTTTTTTTTTTTTACTTATTATTTGTATGTAACATGTTAAATGTTGCACAATGAGTTTTATCTTAATATGTTTAGGTTTTACTGTTTACCAACGCAATTGCAAAGCCAATGAAACGCAGTAAGTGCCTTAGAAACTTGCAAAGTTTTTGCTATTTATGAATTTTATTTACTTTTTTTTTTATATTTTTATTAAATAAATTGCCAGTTGCATATAAGTATTATACAAGTTCTTTGGCATTCGGCTACAAGTTACTTTTAGTTAAAAGTGAATATTGAAAGCTTATCGAAATTGTAATGCGAATGGTTAGTTACTTTATACTTTATCATATATATAAATATAGTGAGAGAAGCAATTTTACAACTTAATTCAAATATTTCAAAGATAATTCTTAACTATGAAAAGCAGATGAAATTACTTAATAAACCTAAACAAAAAAAAAAGCGAAAATGTCCCAAACTCAAAATGTTGTCTTAAAAAAAGCTACAAATATGTTGATTTTATGAATTAAGAACAGTTTCCCTCGAATGCAATTTCAATAATTATTTACAAAAATAATTAAAATAATACAAAATATTCGTGATAAACAAATACAAATACCAATACGACAGTAAAAATGTGAGTGGTAAAAGAAATCATAAAATGTGCTTGAAACTATGCAAATGGATCGATTAAATAATTAGCTAATTAATTAAAGTGAGCAATGGAAACAATAACATAAATGAATTCTAAGTTGCAAAGCAAGGTGATAGTGTGTAAAGCAATTGACATGCAGACAGATACCAAACGATGATAACAAACATACTAATTAAAAGTTTAGTTAAGACTATCAATACTGGCAGAACATTTAGAACAGGCGCGAGTACCACAATAAGTATGTGTTTAATACGATATCATCAACAGCTGAACTTGTCGTAATACATTCTTTGAACATTTTTGTACGTACCGTCGCTAATTTCTTCCATTGGTCGATGTTTTTTCTTTGGGCTTTGGTGAAATGGTCCCAAACCTTCTTGTGACTAGCGGCATTGAACACTTTTTCAATCTGAGTGACTGAACAATAATGCAATAATATATAATAATATTAAGGGAGGGCAGAGGGTAGATATTTTTTTTGGGTTTTTTTTTTGTTGTTCTTGTTGTTGTTGGTTTGATTCTTTACCGCTTAACTAGTCTGCGTTTTCTAATCAAATTAGTGGAAAATAATAAGTAGAAGAAAACTACTTAAGAGACCCTCGCATAACATAATATTTTGTATAGTTTATATATAATAGAGTCTAAAAATATTATACAACAGCTTGTTACCTACATGTGTATCATAGATATGTATATATTTAAAGACTTCAATTGCAGTTAGTTGTTAGTTGTTTTCAACAGACAGCCAGAAAGAAAGGCGGTTGGTGTCTGGTCCGAGGGCTTTATCATATATCACTGCTTGGTTTACAAACCTTTGGCCTGGACTTACACTTTCATATACATATGTATTCCTATGTTGAGTCTTCAGACTTTGCGTTTAGTCAGACACACAGTGAAACAAGTTACTGCACAGTGGCATAAAATAAAGATATTGCGATCGAAATGCGATTCTTATCGTATTCGTAGAAGTTTGGAGCATACAATAAATAAAGAAATTTTAATCCACAAATTATGGTCTAAACTTAAAATATTTTCTTTTACGAATTTATAAGTTGAAGTTATTTCTGTTTGCTTACTACATATAAACAAAAGATTAGACAATTTAAAACATTTCCCTGGCTATGGGATCGACAATTGATAAAGACTCCCAGCTTAAGGGAAGTCATAAAAGAAACTGTATAAAGTAAAATCTCATCTTCATTTGATCGCTTTTCAATCGAATTTTGTCCACTGTGCAGGACTGGTGTGACTGAACTTTTACCTGCGGCGGTTGCTGCTTGTTTTACTCCCTCACCTTGCATTTTGTCTGGTACTTTGAGAGCAAATTTTAGACAGTGAATTCTTGAATGTGGAATTGGTTTTGTTTTGGCTTTTGATAGCACGATGACTAAATAGCTAAAGAGTGTGGGTGTGTAAGCGTGTGTGTTGTGTTTGTGTACGTTTAAGTGTGTTCGTTTTGATTGTACATGGTACAGACGCTAGACGCTAACCGGAGCGCAACAAAAACAGAAAAGTTGAAAAGGAGCGCACCTAAAACCCAGCTAAAACTACAAAATACGATTTTAAAAGATGCCACTTACATTGTGTGGACATGGTGCCCATTTGCTTGCGATAGCATTCGCGCGCCTTCCGCAGATCCTCCTCCAGCTGCTGCTTATCGGTATGCAGGCGCCTCACATGAGCATGCGTGCTCTGAATCATTGAGTAAAAGACGTTCGCATTGCGCTTGGTGCAGTCGCCACGTTCCAGCCAGGCGGTAATCGTTTGTATGGCCTTCACAAACGTCTCGTTATTTCGCAGATGCTCCGCCACAGCGGTGGCCTCATGATCCGTATAATGCGGAATTGGTGGTGGCGATTGCGAACGCATGCGATCCAGCGACATGCGCTCCCGATGACGTTGTTCCCGCTGTAGCTGACGCTGCTTACATTCGTAGTCGTATTGATCGTCTCGTGCCTGAGCATAGTCCACGTGCAGGCGTCCAAAATTGGGAGGCTCATTTAAGCTAGAGATGCGTAAACGGTAGCCGGACAAATAAATGGCACGATCTATGGCTGACTCATGCCGGTAGCGTATATGGCAAAAGTTCTTCTTCGACATGCGTAGCGTGGTGATTTCGCCACACGATTCAAATATCTCACGAATAACGTCTTCCGTTATGTTCTCTGGCAGGCCGCCCACAAACACAGTTCGACAGCCGGGCGGACGTTCGCGTATAGTGGGCGGCGGTGCATTCGGATTGGGTGGGAATAATATGCAATTCTTGGTTTTAATGACGTCCTTCAGACCAGATGCAGTGGCTGTGCCGTCTGTAAGTCAAATATTAACTCGATAGCTAATGCATATAGAACAATATTTACCAGCTGCTAAAGTGCCATCTATACCCGATCCCGACCCATCAGTTGGCATGCCAGCAACTGTCGCTGCGGCCACATAGCCCGCCGCTGCATAGTTATGCTGCATCTGTTGCATTGCAGCCATCATCGCGGAGGGATCCAACAGCATTTGCGCATTAGCATTAGATGCATTTGCTGAGGAAGGTGTGTTGCCACCTGTAGCGCCGGCTGCGGTCTGTGCGGTAGGAAAGTACAAATATCCCGGTGGCGTGTGCATCAGACCATTTAAATAGAGTTGCTGGGCGTCGGGGAGGGACAGAGTTGTGCCAGGTAGTTTATCCGCTGGTTTGCCAGGCGCCATGGTATCTGAGTTTTCTAGCTCGTTATCATTTTCCAAATCCATTGGAGCGCTGCCCTGCGCATTGTGTGTCTTTAACTTGCTGGCTACTGTTTTGAGCGGAGTGGTTGTCTGCGCCGATGCGCTGCTGCTGTTTGTTGCCGTAGGCGTGGGAACGCCCACCGTGGCGGTATTAATAGCAGCCGCCAATTGATTAATAAAATTCGGATGATTTGGCAAGCCGACGCCGCTTGGCATACTCCCAAAAACTGGTACTATAAAGAGGAATAGGTTATAACCATATTTGGGAACGGTAGTAGGGCAAAGAATACAAAAACAAAACATAACAAATATAAATCAGCTGTTTGTCAAGCACGAACCAAACACCAAAGCGAAAGCGCAATATGTAAGCGCACAAAGCGAAATATGATAGGTGGTCTGGTATTTTTTTTCATTTGTTTAACTTGTGGGTGGTATCTATTTGTGGGCATAACAATCGCCTCTGAGCATAGACTGCAACACATTTAACTATAAATTAGCATCCTATGCGCATTGTTTAGGTGCATTTTATATTAAGGCTTTTACTTACACATATTATCAGCCAAATTTGCATAATTGAACGCCATTCGAAATTTGTATTATATGAACTACACGAAATATACCATTTTCGGTATTATAGTAACCAATAAGTTACGCTGCGTTACAGCTGCACATAACTTTCATGCGCTCTGTTTGTTAAAAGCACACGCATTGCTTTTCCCATCATTTTTGATTAATTTTAAGCAAATACTCTCGAGCTATGAGAATTGTTTAACAAAATTTTGACTCTGGCTGTGCCGTGTAGAACTGCTGCACCATTTTTTTTATTGACCTGCAGGGCTGCTGTAAATAGCGCAATAACCAAAATGTGGTATTTTTTAGGCATTCCTATGCGCCATCGCAGCACATGTGTACACACTGTTCGTGATTCATCAGCTGTCATTAATTCGAGAAAGTTTAGATTGAGAACAACACGAATACACAACGCAGTTTACAATAAGTCGTGGAAATCTTTGTGTAACTTATTGAAAAATCTATTCGGCATGTCGGTCAACACGGCACACGCTAATAATGGTGTGCTCATACATGCGGGCGAGTAGTAAGTAAAATTGTATCTTCAAACTGTTTTATGTGGCTGCCTCTGCAGTCTGACGTCATATGAAAATGTAGAGCCTGCTCCTGTATTTTAAAAGAATGCATCGTCGTACTTAATTATTTAGAACGGTTTCAATTGCACAATTTCTTAGCGAATCAATTTATCGGAACTGGCCTTGAGCAGACCGACGTCTATTTCGCAATGTCGTGGGAAAACCAACAGTTTCCGCTCATTGCATGAATTTTGTTGCGATAAGATGGAAAACCCAGCTTAGTAAAATTTTCTTATTTTCCCAGCATTCTACTGCACAGCGATAGCGTGTCAATGGAGTTTTCCGGACAGGACGGGCATCTATTCAAGGGCTCTAAGCAGGGACGCGTTTATTTAACATCGCATAGGATGATTTTCAACAGCAAGAAATCCAGCGATGTAATGCAATCCTTCAGCGCTCCCTTTGTGGCTCTTTCTGATGTATGTATATATTGTCAATTCCCTGCCTGCATTCAGGCTCATTCGAAGTTTCCCCTTATTGTATTTCAGGTTGAAATCGAGCAACCCGTTTTTGGGGCGAACTACATTAAGGGCAAAGTCCGTGCACAGCCCAATGGCAATTATGTGGGCGAGGTGAAGTTCAAGCTGTACTTCAAGGCAGGTGGAGCCATTGAGTATGGACAAGCGTTGCTGCGCGCTGCTAAAACGGCGCAAAGCAACTTTCATCGCGGCGGACTTGCTGGCGATGATCCGCCACCGTACGTGCCATCTGGTGCCTGGCATGAGGCTCCACCACCGGCTTACCAGCCACCACCAGGCTATTATGGTTGGCTGCCCCAGCATGATGCCTTCAGTGGCCCGGCTCCAAACACCGTGTTTGTAAGCGACAACCCGCCGCCGTATCCGGGCATGAGTAAGTTTTCGAGTCTAAGCAGCTTTTCCGCTCCCCCTTGCTCGGCTTTTGTTTTTGTACAGATGTTGCGCTGGTTTTAATTGGCCAAAAACCGGCATGAATGAAAGCAACACGCTCACGCTTTTTCTACCTCTAAAGCACCCTTGCACAATCCATCTCTTTCTGTATATTTTTTTAGCACCACCAAACAATCAACCAGCACCACAAGCACAGCCGCAGCAGATGCAAAATGAACCAACTTGGTATGGTTTTTCAGCACCACCAGATCAGCAGCCGCAACAACAGCCTGGCTATGGTCCCCAAGGATGGGGTGGTGGCTATGCACAGCCGCCGCCATACGCATCCTGTGCCCCTGGATGCGCACCGATGCCACCCTATGGCGGACAGCCGGCTCCGGGCCAAGGAGCACCCGTGGCTCCTTATGGGGGCTATAATCCTAATATACCCGGAGGTTTTATGCAGCCCGGTTTTATGCCACCACAGCAACCAAACGGTTACCCAGGCTCTGCTCCGGCACAGCAACCAAACGGTTACCCAGGCTCTGCTCCGGCACAGCAACCGAACGGTTACCCAGGCAGTGCTCCTCCACAGCAGCCCCCAGCTGCTGGTGTTGCGGCCAATGCAGCAGGCGGTGCGGCTGCAGCAAACTTTTTGGGCTTTAGCTTGCCACCTGGAAGTGAGTATTTGACACAGACACATCATTATTAACCCATCATTCATATTTTTGTTGTTGTCCAGATTAATTGATCAAGTCACGTTTAAAGCAAGTTAGGCTATTCAACTGCATCAAATTGGACTTTTCCTCAATGAACCATACTTTCAAATCAGCAAATTTTGATCATTAATGAATGAATATTGGTTTGTTATTAATATTTTTATTTTAGTGCCTTTATAATGCTTTATAAAACTCTTAAAACCTTCGAGTAGGAACAGAAAACACATTGAAATTGTTTTTAATCTTCATTTAGTATCATTTGATTGATTTAGTTTTTATTTTTGTAGTTTGATTTCCTTTTCATCGTATTGTTGTGTGCCTAATTTACTCGCCGAAATCTAACCAGTTACTAAACTAAAAGCCTAATTCCCAATCTGGCATCTGAAACAATGTTATTCTTTACCTTTTTCACAGTGTAAACTGCAAAATTAGTACACAACTACTACTGTACCGCAAAACAGACAAGTAAGATTTCGCATCGCTTATAAATTTGTATATAAATACGTATTTACCTTGGTTAAAATTTCCAACAAAAGCCGAGCCTACAGTTTTGCAATTTTGGCTTCGATTTAGTAACTTGTATAATGATTTCTTTCTCTTTTGATTTTTCCATGCAAACTTTGCAGGAACCAGCAGCACGCAATATTATTATTATCCCAATTGTTATCCAGTCGCAAGAACTTTGTGTTTTATACCAATACCTGTCATATATCCATAAAAAGGACTGTAAGACATTGCTGTTTTTGTACAATTTTATTATTATTACTCTTGATATTTCAATCTACCACAATGATATTGATTTCTTGCTTCTTTCCATAGATTCCAAAGAAGCGGAAGCGGCTGCTAGCGCTTATAATACACCCTATAATCAGCGTGGACCCGGGGCTAACGGATCCAGAGAAATGCCGCCGTCATATAATGTGCGTAGGCGTCTCATATTAATTAATTCCGCTTTAATTAAAAACATTTCATGCTTTTGCAGAATTTGCCACCCAGCTACGATGATGCATCAAAGAAACAACAATAAAATTAGCCTGTCAAAATTCTACAAATATTTATAATAACAAATAGTCCACAAGAACGGCTCATTCCGATTAGAATTACACACAAAAAAGTACACGTAGATTTCTACATTCAGCTATGAATTGAGGCCTGTTGCTGTTAGCATTATTTCACACAGCATTCTCCTCATTATTTTGGCCAAGCCTGCGAAAATATGTCGATGCTTAAAGTTATGCTTTGTTAAATTTGGCAATCAGACAAGACTTAGATTTTATTGTACTAAAAAATGTCACATTTCAGCTGTTAATTAATACACGCTTTGAGGTCTCAACTAGCATCGGCAACAAATTAAAAACACCAAATTGTTTGTTGTTTTCTGCTAAATATTTAATTTAATACAATTCAAATTTCATCTAGTTGTTGTCACAAACGATGTTTTTATTTGCTTTTTATATTTTTATTTAATTTTTATCAACTATTAATATAAATGAAAACTATTGTTATATCAATATAATATGAATATAAAAATTTTAAATATATACATACATATATAAATATTACTTAAAAGATTTTGTGTGCTAAAAATTAAAATGTTAGTTATAGTTTATGTTGATGACTGGAACTCATTCCGTACTGCGCTGCAGCTGCATAGTCCGATGGCTCAGATCCAGTCCACTCTGTCTGCAAACTAAGGAGCAGAAAAATATAATTAAGACATATTCTAGGGTAAGTTACTGATTTCTTTTAGATGCAGGTGGCCACCTGGATATTAGTACCAACTCTTAAATCGATTCTTTTTTATTGTATAATTTTCTTTTAATGTCCACTTTGTACACAATTGTTGCTTTTTAGGGTCGCAGAATCCGGCAACATTAACGATGACTTGCACGATAGCCAGCGACAAGTGCGGGATATCGTTTAAGTTGCAAATTTCTGTGCCACAGTCTTTTTAATAGCGTTTCACTAGCTCCAAGCTTCACTTCGTATGTTCGTATGTACAATGATTATGCAGGTTTGGTGATATTTTGAACAGAACAGCGCACCGTTGCCTTTGCTTTGAGTAGTGGAAAAGGGTCGGGCTGGACTCTGGACTCAATGTCTTTCTTTTCACTAATTAAAGCAAAGCATCACAACGGCGAGTTGTTCTGTTCTGTAGAAAAAAAAGCTAATGGAAAATTTTCAATTCAATTTGTATGCATCTGACAGAAAAGGGTGCGTATTGTACGCATGATTATAAATGTGTATCAATTTTTGTTTTTAAATATATAAATATTACTAAAAAGCTTTTGTGTGTTAAAAATTAAATGTTTGTTATAGTTTATTTTGATGACTCTGTCTGCAAACTAAGGAGCAGAAAAATAAATTTAAGACATATTCTAGGATTAGTGATTGAATTCATGTAGATGCAGGTGGCCACCAGGATATTAGTACCAACTTCTAAATCGATTCTTTTTTTTTATTGTTTAATTTTCTTTTAACGTCCACTTTGTACACAGTTGTTGCTTTTTAGGGTCGCAGAATCCGGCAACATTAACGATGACTTGCACGATAGCCAGCGACAAGTGCGGGATATCGTTTAAGTTGCAAATTTCTGTGCCACAGTCTCATTAATAGCGTTTCACTAGCTCCAAGCTTCACTTCGTATGCTCGTATGTACAATGATTATGCAGGTTTGATATTTTTAATATTTTGAACAGAACAGCGCACCGTTGCCTTTGCTTTGAGTAGTGGAAAAGGGTCGGGCTGGACTCTGGACTCAATGTCTTTCTTTTCACTAATTAAAGCAAAGCATCACAACGGCGAGTTGTTCTGTTCTGTAGAAAAAAAGCTAATGGAAAATTTTCAATTCAATTTGTATGCATCTGACAGAAAAGGGTGCGTATATCACGCATGAATATAAATGTATATCTACTTGTTTTTAAATATATACATATATAAATATTACTAAAAAGCTTTTGTGTGTTAAAAATTAAATGTTTGTTATAGTTTATTTTGATGACTCTGTCTGCAAACTAAGGAGCAGAAAAATAAATTTAAGACATATTCTAGGATTAGTGATTGAATTCATGTAGATGCAGGTGGCCACCAGGATATTAGTACCAACTTCTAAATCGATTCTTTTTTTTTATTGTTTAATTTTCTTTTAACGTCCACTTTGTACACAGTTGTTGCTTTTTAGGGTCGCAGAATCCGGCAACATTAACGATGACTTGCACGATAGCCAGCGACAAGTGCGGGATATCGTTTAAGTTGCAAATTTCTGTGCCACAGTCTCATTAATAGCGTTTCACTAGCTCCAAGCTTCACTTCGTATGCTCGTATGTACAATGATTATGCAGGTTTGATATTTTTAATATTTTGAACAGAACAGCGCACCGTTGCCTTTGCTTTGAGTAGTGGAAAAGGGTCGGGCTGGACTCTGGACTCAATGTCTTTCTTTTCACTAATTAAAGCAAAGCATCACAACGGCGAGTTGTTCTGTTCTGTAGAAAAAAAAAGCTAATGGAAAATTTTCAATTTAATTTGTATGCATCTGACAGATAAGGGTGCGTATATCACGTATATATAAATCTTACTAAAAAGCTTTTGTGTGTTAAAAATTAAATGTTTGTTATAGTTTATTTTGATGACTCTGTCTGCAAACTAAGGACCAGAAAAATAAATTGAAGACATATTCTAGGGTAAGTGATTGAAATCATGTAGATGCAGGTGGCCACCTGGATATTAGTACCAACTTCTGAATCGATTCTTTTTTTTTATTGTATAATTTTCTTTTAACGTCCACTTTGTACACAGTTGTTGCTTTTTAGGGTCGCAGAATCCGGCAACATTAACGATGACTTGCACGATAGCCAGCGACAAGTGCGGGATATCGTTTAAGTTGCAAATTTCTGTGCCACAGTCTCATTAATAGCGTTTCACTAGCTCCAAGCTTCACTTCGTATGCTCGTATGTACAATGATTATGCAGGTTTGATATTTTTAATATTTTGAACAGAACAGCGCACCGTTGCCTTTGCTTTGAGTAGTGGAAAAGGGTCGGGCTGGACTCTGGACTCAATGTCTTTCTTTTCACTAATTAAAGCAAAGCATCACTACGGCGAGTTGTTCTGTTCTGTAGAAAAATTGCATTAGCAAGAAAGCTAATGGAAAATTTTCAATTCAGTTTATATGAATCTGACAGAAAAGGGTGCGTATTGTACGCATGATTATAAATGTGTATCTACCTGTGTGAACATTTTCAGATATGTATCTGTGCGCAATACAGAGTGCGTAGATGCAAACCAATCAGTATATGTACATATGCGAAGTATTATGTATCTAGGCACACCTAGTATATAGATACATACTAATCCGTATATGCATCTGGGACCCACCCGCAAATTGTGCACAGATACATATCTGAAAATCATTACATAAGCAATAAAATTTTCAATTGCATCAGTACATCAATTTGCAGATGGATGTGTATGTGCATATACGAAGAAGTATATATATAGACACACCTAGTATATAGATACATACTAAACAGCATATGTATCTATGGAACCACCTGAAGATTCTGCGCAATAAAATTTTCATTTGTATGCATCTGTGCATCAATTTGCAGATGGATGTGCATGTGCATATACGAAGAAGTGTGTATCTAGACAAACCTAGTATACATATACTAAACAGTATATGTATCTATGAACCACCTGAAGATTCTGCGCAGATACAAAATCTGAACATCATTACATATTTTATGCAATAAAATTTTCATTTGTATGCATCTGTGCATCAATTTGCAGGTGGATGTGCATGTGCATATACGAAGAAGTGTGTATCTAGACACACCTAGTATATAGGTACATACTAAACAGTATATGTATCTATGGACCCACCTGAAGATTCTGCGCAATAAAATTTTCATTTGTATGCATCTGTGCATCAATTTGCAGATGGATGTGCATGTGCATATACGAAGAAGTGTGTATCTAGACAAACCTAGAATACATATACTAAACAGTATATGTATCTATGGACCCACCTGAAGATTCTGCGCAGATACATATCTGAAAATCATTACATAAGCAATAAAATTTTCAATTGCATCTGTGCATCAATTTGCAGGTGGATGTGCATGTGCAAATACGAAGAAGTATGTATCTAGGCACACCTAGTATATAGATACATACTAAACAGTATATGTATCTATGGACCCACCTGAAGATTCTGCGCAATAAAATTTTCATTTGTATGCATCTGTGCATCAATTTGCAGATGGATGTGCATGTGCATATACGAAGAAGTGTGTATCTAGACAAACCTAGTATATAGATACATACTGAACAGTATATGTATCTATGGAACCACCTGAAGATTCTGCGCAATAAAATATTCATTTGTATGCATCTGTGCATCAATTTGAAGATGGATGTGCATGTGCATATACGAAGAAGTGTGTATCTAGACAAACCTAGTATATAGATACATACTGAACAGTATATGTATCTATGAACCACCTGAAGATTCTGCGCAGATACAAAATCTGAACATCATTACATATTTTATGCAATAAAATATTCATTTGTATGCATCTGTGCATCAATTTGCAGATGGATGTGCATGTGCATATACGAAGAAGTGTGTATCTAGACAAACCTAGTATATAGATACATACTGAACAGTATATGTATCTATGGAACCACCTGAAGATTCTGCGCAATAAAATATTCATTTGTATGCATCTGTGCATCAATTTGCAGATGGATGTGCATGTGCATATACGAAGAAGTGTGTATCTAGACAAACCTAGTATATAGATACATACTAAACAGTATATGTATCTATGGACCCACCTGAAGATTCTGCGCAGATACATATCTGAAAATCATTACATAAGGAATAAAATTTTCAATTGCATCTGTGCATCAATTTGCAGATGGATGTGTATGTGAATATACGAAGAAGTATGTATCTAGGCACACCTAGTATATAGATACATACTCAACCGAATATGTATCTATGAACCACCTGACAATTGTGCACAGATACATATCTGAAAATCATTACATATCTTGTGCAGTAAAATTTTCATATGTATTTAACTGTGCATCAACTTGCAGATTGATTTGTATGTACATATACGGAATAGTGTGTATCTATGGATAGTAATATGCACTTATATATATAGTATGTATCTATGCACACACCTAGTATATAGATACATATTAATCATTATATGTATCTCTGTAACCACCTGAAAAATTATGCACAGATATATATCTGAAAATAATTGCATATTAATTGCAATAAAATTTTCATTGTATCTGTGCATTAATATTCAGATAGATTTGTATGTACATATAAGAAGTTGTATGTACCTATGTATAGAGATATGTATATACATAGTATGTATCTATGCACACTCCTAGTATGGAGATACATACTAAGTATATGTATCTATACACCCACCTGAAAATGGTGCAGAGATACATATCTGAAAATTTTCACGCAGGTAGATACATAAAAAAATTAAAATTTAATTGATACGTAATAAATTTGATGTTTTCTGACGATTTGTTGTGTGTTCTGTGTATTCTTTAATACTTAATTAATAATAAATTGGGTTTTCTTTACCTGTTCAATAACAAATTGTGCACCTGTTGACCTTTTTTATGGAAAAATTGGCAAATATTACGTTATATGCAGTCGTCTATATCTGCGAATATATATATTAGAAAAAAAAGCAATAAGTTTTAACTTGAAAAAAAAATTTCATTTTCTTAAAGCTAAGCTTGATTCTTGCGAAAACGAAGCTAAGGAAATATATTTGCTTCAGCCATGTATGTGATAATATAAAAAAAAAACTTTTGATGAAACACTTGAAAAAAAAAATGAAATTTTCACTGTTATACACACACAAAATTGGAAGCTTATTTTTCAGGAGTATTCAGGAGCGATGTCGACCAGCCAGTTCAACGTCCAAAGGACAAGTGAACGCTGGTAAGCTCGTCCCGAAAGTGGAAAGCTAAATCAATCATACGCCACATGCGCAGTGCGTTAAGGTGAAATGGTGAAAAGGTGAATTGGATTGTGGTGAGAAAAAACGTGGCAGGACATTGGCTGGCAAAGAATGGCAAATTGGTGGTGCATGCCGTGAGTATGCTTTGGGCATGTTTGAATAAAACTATTGATACAAAATAAGCAGCAAAAATTAGAAAAATAATAATTAAAAAAAGTAACTTCACGAATGCGGATTGCAACTATTTTCGAAAAGTGCAATTCAAGAGGCGCATAAATTGAAACTTGTGCGTGTTGATTTGGAATATTTGAATTTGCATTCGATTACTGCCACTTGCGAGTGGAATTCAGTGGAGCAACAACTTGCGTCTGTTGTTTATCGATTCGTGTGCCACAAATAGCTGTGTTGCACCCAGAGACAGCACCCTGTATGCGTGTGCGTATGACGAACATTCAACGTTAGCTATTCCCTTCGCTGCAGGCGTGTCGATTTTAACGCATAAATTATGCAAAAGTCAACTGCATCGCGCATCGACTAAATATCAAACTACAAACCAACAAAAAAACACAACAATATTCGGCAACAACACAAAAATAGTTGCATACATAAATAAGCGCAAAGAACATTTAGAATGGACGTGGGCGCACAGGATACCACATATGAGCCTCTAGAGGGGCGCAGCGGTCGGGGATCGGGCAACGGCATGAGGCATCCGACGAGCATAGATAGTCCCGAATACGATACACGCGCCCCCAAGGACCAAAGACATGCCGTCTATCTGGCACTGCTTGCAGCGGGCATCGGATTTGTTTTGCCCTACAATAGGTGAGTGCAAATGAATGTGCAAATGTCAATCCGATTGGGTATGGGAATCCGAGTTGAAGTGGGAGTGAGCGTGGGCGTGGGCTGTGTGAATGGGCTTTAGAAAGACAAAGATTGATTAGTAGCGATTGTTTGAATAACATGTATCAAAGTTGACACAAGTTGAAATTATGTCAATGTAGAGTTATTTACTGTCTGCAATCCTGTTAAGTAAGCGTGTAAAATATAATATACTTGCGCTTATTACCCGGCCTTGCTCGTGGCAAGTTTTGTGCTATCCATCCAAGAGCGGTGAATATCGCGAAACGCGTGTCAAATTATTTTAACACAGATCTCTGAAAATGATTTTGAAGCCGATCCGATGGTAAATAAAACAGTTGCCTGCAACAGTTTTCCGCCAATTTCCACAGTCGCGAGTGAAATTTCCAAAACCGCTGAAACACTTATTCATTTAGTTTTTATGTAGAGGTCATTGAGTTTTGAATTTGAGATCGATCGACAGAAACTTAAAACTTCGCCCTCATATCCTTTCCCCCGTATTTAACTTACAAGAGGTACGGATTTTGCGAATATTCTGAAACAAGTCTTACATGAATTTTCACAAAGACCTTTAAAAATGACAAGGATGAATGTATTTTCTGAAAAGTGTGAAACATCCCGTAAATGAAGTTCAACAAAGATCTTTGAATAGAGTTTGAGGCAGATAAAAGGGTAATCGAACAAGTTTCATACAAAAGTTTTTCCACGCTAGCGGGTGGAATTTCCCAGAATTTCACATAAGGCAACTACAGTGGAAATTTCAGCTTTATAGCTCTTACGTTGTGGGGTGTGCGGTGATAACTAATCAGTCTGTTAGTCAATCAGTCAGTCAAAACAAATATATAGAGATATATTAACAAGCTAATCGTGGGAAACACAAAGATAAAATATAATTATGTCATTTTATTTAGTAAGACATCGATTTAAGACGCACACGCGCACAGAATACCGATCTAAGAAGGCGAGTATTAGTATTAGTATTAAGTAGACGACTATGAGTATTAAAACTTCTCAGCTCACTTTATTCGCTATGCTTGCTTTATGCGATTCCGGCTAACGGAATTCGAGGTGTTACAACTATTGGCGAAAGAGCAGTAGCCATCTACAATGCCCGCTCTCTCCATCCTTCTCTCTCCCAACCACACATAGTCTAGCAATATGTGCGCCAAAAATAAAAGAGTTCTGCGCCTAAAATTCCACAAATACGAATTTAATGGGCTAGTAATCAAACATTCAAGTATGGAGAATTGTTAGAACACTACTATAAATTACACTTAACACAAACTAATTAAACAAAGTAATAAGACATAATTATGAGACGACGCACACGGAATACCGATCAAATGAGACGACGCGCACAGACTAAATTGCCATACTTGCACTAATACAATAACAATTGAGTATTGAAAAATATGCGGTCACACTATTCGCAATGTTTGTTTCAAGAGATTCTAGGTAACGGGATCCAAAGTGTTGCTACACTAAGCGTAAGCGCAATAACCATCTACATTGCTCGGCGTCTCTCTCTCTCTCTCTTTCTCTCTCTCACACACTAATTCTGCCAATATGTGCGCCAAATATGTCGCTAAAAATTCAAGATATGTATGTATGTATGTGTGTGTTTTATTGCTTGTTAAACAAACATTCAAGTGTGGAAAACGAATAGAAAACTATAATAAATTATATTTTACACAAACTAAACGCGTTAAACACAATAATAAAATAAAATGAAATCAATTAAATAATTGTTGGACGATATTTAATTGCAATTTATTTTCTAATATGGCCAATGGCTTTGAGCTACTTTTCGTATGCAATAGGAAATGACTACTATTATTTAAACTTGTAATTTCTTAATATACTCTGTAGTTACATATTGTTATATTCCAATGATTTACTAAATCTCATTTGTAACACTTTCAGTTTCATTATCGCCGCGGACTATTGGCAGGGACGCTTTCCGGGTCGTCCGGTGGCTCTGGACATGTCCATGACGTACATCTTTGTGGCCTTTGGCACGGTGCTGTTCAACAACATTGTGCTCTCTTTGGCGCCATTCCAGACGCGCGTCCTCTTTGGCTACATGGTGTCCTTTACCACACTGATATTTGTGGCCGTCTGCGAGGTGGCCTGGCACATGTTTGCCACGAATACGGCGTATGTTGTGAACATGTCTGCGGTGGCTCTAACAGCCATTGGCTGCACGGTGCAGCAGTCGAGCTTCTATGGATTCGCCTCGATGCTGCCCAAGCAGTACACGCAGGCGGTGATGGCCGGCGAGAGCATTGCCGGATTTCTGGTGTCTTCCAATCGTGTGGTTACCAAGCTGCTCATCAACAATGATCGCGTCTCGACGGTCATCTTCTTTCTGACCTCCACGCTGTACATACTGTTCAGCTATCTGCTCCATTTGGCCACCATCAACTCGCCGTTTGTGCGCTTTCACGTGGAGGCCTGCTCCAAGATTGTTCTACGACCGGATGAGGTAAGTGACATGAAGTAATCAGTAGGCTAGACGAGATTAAGAGAGAAGAGACTCCGATTAAGTATTGGCTGTGCATTATTTCTAACCATGTCTTTGTTTTATTCATCGTTTATTGTGTGGCGCAGCAAGAGATCGATGGCGCCACCAGCAGCACCAAGTATGGTGTTCTCTCCATGGACGGCACTACGACAACTACCACAGCTGGACCGCATCATTCCAGTTCGAGTGCACCCAATACGCTGAGCTTCAGCAATCCCGTCTATGAGCTGTCTAATCCCACGGCTGGCGAGAGCATCATTGAGGGTCTCGGACCGTTGCCCGAGCTGCCAGCCACGCCGCATGAGCCGGCCACGCCCACAACGGTTGCCTTCAAGGTGGAGCATGTGATTACGCCGCGTCGCTGCCGGCCCAGCAAGCTGGGCGACATACGCGAAGGATTCGTAACACGCTGGCGCGTCGCCCAGGTCATCTATCCGTACATGGTGTGCATTGCCCTGGCCTACTGTGTCACCCTCTCACTGTATCCCGGCATCGAGGTGGAGGTCACTTCGTGTGCGCTGCGCACATGGATGCCAGTGCTGCTGATGTTCTGCTTCAACACATCGGATGTGATTGGCAAGATACTGGCCGCCAGCCCGTATCCCTGGTCGCGGCGTCAGCTGATCTTGCTGTCGGGACTGCGCATTGTGCTGGTACCGATGTTTCTACTATGCTGTGCGCCACGTCATCGACCGATCATCTCGGGCGAGACGGCGCCCTTCCTGTTCACCATAGCGCTGGGCATCAGCAACGGACTGGCCGGCAGTTTGCCCATGATGCTGGCTCCGGCTAAGGTGCCTGGCACCCTCAAAGAGGTCACCGGCAACATAATGACACTGTCCTACAATATTGGACTCACGGCCGGATCGCTGATTGGCTATGTGTTCGAGAGCATGCTGGGACCACAGCTGGAGAATCCCTGTCCCATGTATCCGTATACGCCCGCCTCGGTGCTGGAGCACTACCATGGTCATTTGCCGCCGTTGCTGCCCACCACCAGCTCGACTATGGCGGCCAACACGACACTGGCGCCGCTGTTGCTCAACACCACAATCGCCAGCTTTACCAGCACGGAGAGCAGCTCCACCAGCGCTGTGCCCGGACCCGCACTGGCCACAGTCATCACCACAACGGCCCTGGCTCTCTACAGTACCGTGGCGAGCACCAGCACTGAGCTAATCAATGCGACTGTCACCACCATGCTGTCGGCGGTATCATCATCGGTGGGCGATATCAGTGGTGAGCTTGGGGGCAGTACAACAGATCCTCAAACGCCCGATGCACTGTTGCAGGAGATCTAAGTCGGTTGTTTGTTGGACATGGCACATTTGCAGATACTCGAGTCAAAGTAGTTGCTTGTGCAGATTTAAAAGTATCTACAAGATACAATTTAGATTATCTCTGACTGATGAGCGGTGAAAGCGGGAGCGTTAAGAGAGAGTTCTCATGTGAAAGGGTAATTATGCCACTCTTTACTTGGAAAAACTCTGTGCAAAATTAGAAGGTAATTCTGCCTTAAATTAGAAAAAATTCCGTATCTCATGCGAGAGGGTAATTATGCTAGCCTTTAATTGGGCAAAATTCCCTTTCTCATGTGAGAGGGTAATTATGCTAGCCTTCAATTGGTAAAACTCCTCTCCTAATGTGGGAGGGTAATTATAATTGTCTAATTGGAGAAAATCTCTTTCTCATATGTTAGCCTTGAATTGAAAAAATGCCCTTTCTTATGTGAAAGGGTAATTGTGCTAGCTTTAATTGGAAAAAATTCAATTTCTATTGTGAGAGGGTAATTGGGCTATCCTTTACTTGGAAAAGTTCTCTTTCTAAAAAGAAATACGGATTAAAGAAGATTGCCAGTTGTGAGAGTCTATCAAAAACTATCTTGTGTACTCGTATTGCAAAAATATTTATCAACTCTAATAATTATGTTAACATATACTCCAACTAAGTGCTATAATATTCAAGTTTTAATCCGTTGATTTCGAGTTATATAAGAGAGCCCAGTAGCTAAGCAAATTCTATGTGTGTGCGTGTGTGTGTTGCGTGTGCGTGTGCATGTGTGTGCGTGTGATTATGTATGTACATATATAATTAGGATATGGCTAATACGGATAAATGCATATTGTTGGTTACAGATCATGAATATTTTTATAAAAAGGCGCTAGACTTAATTGTTTGTGGGGTAATTATAATCGTAATTATTGATCAAAATTTGGCGGCGAAGTGCTTGCCGCATTTACCTCAAAGACTAAATAATTCGAATATGGTTTGCTAGGAAAGTCCGTTAAGTTGATCGAATCGAATAATGAATGATTTCCGAATGCGCAGTACTACTTAGACTTAAAAGGCCTTTTAATGAAACACTTTAACTTTGCAGCTAGTCATAGAGAATCCGTTCCAAAATAGTAACAAATTGCTAAATAATGCATACATATATATATGTATATGTATTAATATTGAAGTGTACATGAGTATATCGTTCAATACACTTACAAACGCTGTGGATGGCCTTAGTCTTGTTTCTGCTTAGTTGCAATTATTATTTAGAAATTAACTGAATTATCAACGATGTTTTGTTAACTTACTTAACCAGATTTTAGCCAAATTTTGACTATAATGAAATGAACGTTATATGCGTATACCTCTAAGAATTGTAATGATTATGTATGTTAACAGCAAATTGTAAAAAACTGTCGGAATAGAATTAAAAACTCGAATAAAATTAAAGGCAAAGCGCCACCTGTGTCAGACAGGCCAAAACTGCAATGCGCCACCTGTTTAGCACTGGACAAAACTCTAAATAGAGGTATCCTCGATATGAAAATTGCTATATTTTGTAATTCCCATTAAAAAGGGAATTTTGATTATAGTGCATGTGTTTAAAACGAATTGCTACACAAGATGGCGACACATCCAGCTGGGAAAAAACTAAGTTACTCAAAAGATGGCGGCACTGTTTTATAGTCAACTAAATCATTGTGTTGAGAATTTTTTTTTTTACTTAATAAAAGGGAAATTTAACTAAAGCAAAATGCTCGCTACGATTTATTTCCCTTATTACGGACTTTCTTAAAGTAACTCATTTTTTGCTTATGCGCACAAAAATATCAAAAATTGCCAAATATGTCAAATATGTCTTTGAATGCTTTATAATGAATAAAAGTAGAAAAAGCGCTGTGAAAAGGAAGGAAAAACTATGAGAAACTAGAAAATGCAGAAGTACAAAAAAATTACACAGTGAGATAAATTGTAAACAACAAAGAAATGAGAAGTTATTTTATCGCCATCTTGCGTAACAATTCAAAACATGTCTTATCCCTTAAGAATTACAGCTATTAATATAGCTAGATAAGGGAAATTTCACATTAATCTTACCCCTATTTATGTTTCAAAGGATGTTTGAAAATGAATTAAACTTCCCTTTAATTTGCAGGGGCTGAACCAACCCTAATCAGTGGGAATTGTAAAATTAAAATGGGATGTGAATTTGTTGTTGTTTGAACTAATAATGTTAAGGAGAAGAGTGTAAAGGTTTATATTTAATTCTTCTACTCGCTGGGAGTTAAAAAAATAAATAGTTTCTCTAAATATTTGTACAATGTTTTTGGCATTAATTTTCAATATATTTCTCTAGTTTCTCATGCAGTTTCTGTTTTCTAAAAGGCGATTATATATGTATGCATATTTCTTATATTAAAATAAAAATATTAAAAATGATATTTATAAGATGTTAAGGTATTAGGCTGTCGTTGTTTTCGGCATTGCTTTTGTTTTCATTTAAATATTTACGTGTAATTGGATTTTTTGATTTGATTATAATTGTATTGAAGCTTCACGCAGGCCAAGTGCCGGAATAAATTTTCCGTTTGTCAAGTGGCCAAATGAATACAAATGAAATAAATTAGGCAGCATCCACCTTGAAACTAAGTCAAAGCGGATGCGGAAAAAGCGCCAACTTATGCCGAATTTAAATTGAAGTACTGTGTAGCTAATTTGACACCCTGTACATACAGCTGAAGCGGGTATAATAGGCTACATGAACATGAATCTTACAGCTGAAGGGGGGAAGCCCCTAAATCAGCTTATAGACTCACATATATACATAGAAGCTCTCTTATATTATAATCTTATACTAATTATGTGCAATATTTGTGCAAGGGTATTAAATAGTCGGCTGTCTGAAGACAACTTTTCTTGCATTTATTTGTACATTCCTTTGTTTTGCTCAGGAAAATCAATGAATTTCCACATTATTTTTTTGAATATTTTGTGCCGAGATCTGGTTAAGTCGGAAGTTATTCTGAAACAAAACGCGCAATTAAATGTATTTTGAATGGCCGTCTAGAAGGAAAACGCTGCAAAGCGAAATTGGACATTTGCATTACAGGCCGGAAGCGATAAAGGGGGTCGCTCTTGAGGGGGTCGCTCTTGAGGGGGTCGCTCCTTGGGCCACCCGCACAACCGCTAAGCCTTATCTACACAGAAGCACGCCGAGCACCTAACTAACTAGGCGACAACTTCGAGCTCGAGGGCTGTGGCGGGGGGAGGAGTGCAGGGGAGCAGCAGGAGCAACTTTTATCGATTGGCAAAGTTCGCACATTCGCCTACATTTAGGCGCATTTGACGGATATGGGCAACCCTTCAAAGGTGCTCCACTTATTGGCTGCCCCGTGTCATTGTACCCAGCTGCAGCAGGCCTGCGCGAAGTTAACCCTTCCAATCAATCAGCGGGCGCTTGTTTGGTATGGAAACTAAAATGTTAAATTTCAGACCGGATCAATGTGGAATTTGAGTACATACCAAGAAGGATCAATTGGATGCACACCTAATCGCAGTAGGATCGACTATCTGGTTCCCTAAAATAAACAAAAGTGATTTGATATAAATGTTACTTATGCATGAACACATATATTATATATATATATATATATATACAGATTATTTAAAATACAAACGCGAAGGGGATTACGATGATTCGGATTCGTCGCTGTCGTCGCTGCTGCTCAGCTGCAAGTCGGTCCAGAGCGTTGAGTCTGCCGGGATTGCAGCTGCTGCCTCGTCCAGCTGCTCCGGTTGCTCCGCCATGTGCGCATCATCGCAGAGATTGATTTCGGCCTGTTCCGGCCACGGGCACGTGGGCGGCGCTTCAGTGTCAGACATCTGCCAGGTTTCCATTGGCAAGTCCGATGCGCTAATCTGCGCATTGGAGATCGGCTCATCTGTTTCTAAATGCGGCTGGCAGTTCTCGTATTCGACATCGTTTGTTTCTGGTAAATTGGATTGGTTACTTTCCTCGGCCTGCGTTTCGTAGTGCTCTTCTTCGGAGGAGTTGGCCTGCTCTGGTAGCTCGTCTCTTTCGGGCGAGTTCTCTTCCTCTTGTGCGATCGACTCCTGCGTTTCGCGTTGCTCCTGCATGTGCGTATAGTATTTCATCTGTTCCTTTCTCCTCTCATCCCTATTCATTTCGACCCTGCGCCCCTTCATTAGCTTCTGCTTCAGCCTGTTGGCTGTGGCATCGAAAGCATCGATTAAGCCTCTGGCGCGGCTCTCCTTCTCCCGGGAATAGGACTTCAGACAATGCTCTACGCTGCTCTCTGCCCGCTTGAGTGCAAACAGAACCTCAGTTATGTCCCTCTTGTCCAGCTTGACATTTGAATCCTGCTCTTCCAGTGGCTTCTTACTTTCCAGCTCGTGGGACCAATGGCAGTTCGAGTAGCGCTGGTGCGGCTCCTGGTCGCAGGTCTTGTGAAACAGTTCGTGGAACAGCTTAATCTGATTGTCGAAATTCTTGAAGATGCCGGTCACTTCGAAGCGGAACTCCTCGATGGTCTTGAAGTAAAACCTGTCTACTTTTTGGGACAAATACTCCAGCTTTGCGTTAAAATATTTACAAATGGTCGGGTCGTCCTCCTTGGCGATGGCCGTCTGCAGCTTTTCCAGATGCTCCTGGCACTGACGCTGTACGACATCCGAGGCCTTCTCGTAGCCATGCTGCCTGCCCGACGATCGCGGATCCTTGGTGCTGGGCTTCTCCTCGCCCTTGGGCATTTTATTGAGCACCCGATGAAAGAACTTCTCCAGTTTCTGGCAATTCCGATAGACCACATCGCCCGGCCGATTGAACGTGAAGCAGTTGCTGATGACCAATCGGAAGTCACAGATCAGATCATCCACCCGATGATAGTAACGGTTTTGCACCCGCTTGATGATCGTGCCCACGTCCATGGGCCGCTTTATGATGGTGTAGTAATTGGGTACTTGCAGTGCCGCCGTGTCCACGGGCTCCATGAAGTCCATGGCGAACTTCTTCGCCACCAGCTCGTCCAGCAGATATTTCCTCAAGTAATGAATCTTATTGGTGTAAAGCCCAGCTTCGCCCGGCTCTGGCATCACCTCGGGCTGCACCCGGGTCGGTAGCTTAATTTTTAGCTTCAGGGGCTTGTGCGGCTCCTGCGGTACGGAAAGTGCATTTTCAATGGAGTACAAATCCCGATCAGCATTTAATGGAACGAACTTACCATAGCTTGTAGATTCCTACGGTCTGATACTTTTAGAGAGAATAGCAATTCATGTGATATCCGATTGAACTCTATTCGTATGAGACAGTCGACAATTTTTTCTTCATTTGACAAATAATTCATTGAAAATATGATTATATTTGTTCCTTAATCAACTCAATAATGACGGTAATCTATACAATTTACCACAAGACACAAAAGTATACCTAGAATATCAATAATAAATACAAAAGAGCTCCAGGAGATAATTGAAAAACTGAAGAGATCAAGAAAATTGAGAACATAAACAAATGCAGACAGTAGACTAGAGAGAGTACAAAGTGATATATCGATATATCGATATTTCTAGAGACGATATCTCGATAGCATATATTATCGGTTTTTAGTCAAGTGTCATTGCATTCGTTCATTCCTTTTCAAAAAATATTTACAAATTTAAAAGTTTCAATTGACAGTATAATTATTAAATATGCTTACCTTTTATCAACTTTGTATCATAAGCTTTGCGTTGCTTTGGAATATCTGGAGAATCGATTAAGGATTGAGGCTAAGGATGGCGTTGATCACGGCATTAAATCCATCAAGTGCCACCAAGAAGACGCCAGTCTTATTGGAGTTGGTTTGCATAGAATTCTTTGAAGAATTGCCTTCAGTTAGACGACTTTAAGACATGTCAACTCATATGTATATGGCTAATTATGTTTGGACCCAAAATTTCCATAGCTCTGGTTTCGAATATTGGTAGCTTTTAAGACCGCGCTAAAATACGAAGGTAAGAAATATTTATTAATTGCTCATGTTCTACATTTATTGACATATTTTTAACCTTCTGTAAAATAGATGGACTAGAAAAGTGCATAGAAAATTGTATGAACATGTTTTTTTGCTTTTGCTGGAATTCATTGATTGCAATTCATTTATTATAATGATTCAGCTAATTGTGTAAATTAAACAAAGAATCTGGCGATGCAATAAAATGTTACCAATTTGCATGCAACAATTTGCCAATTAGCATTTAAACCTATAACAGGAAATATATTTTCGATAAATAAATCGTTATATATTTTCCAAGCCTACATTAATCCAATTGGAACTGAGTACAGGGTTGTTCGTCCTCTTAAAGTTCAATCGACGCGCAATTTGTTAACCAAATCACAACTTTGAAATCAGGCCAAGCATTGCCTAATAACACACTTTAGAGCCAACAACATTTACAACAATTAAAGCGCTTAAGTCTAGGGCTCGGGTTGTTGTGTTGCTGTGCAATTACATGACAGCAGCGATAGCAGCAATAACAACAACAACAACTACAAAAACAACAACAACAACAACGGCAAGAGCAACAACATTACGAATTACGATAATAATTTCCATTTCTAATTTCCTCACCATGCCAAAGGAATTTGCAGTTGCGAGCTATCGGGCGCTACAGCCGCTTGCCCCGCCTGTCCCGCCTTTCCCGCCTTCTTGTCCATGTTTCCGGTAGCAACAGCAACAAGCAATAAGCCCAACAACTACAACAATTGCAGCAGCAACAGCTAAGGACGCGGCAGACTTTGGCATAATTCCAGAATTGCAGAAATCTAACAAAATGCAAATGCAATCATTGATTTTTCAGCTTATAAAAGAAATTGGCATCATGTGTGTTTGTTTGCACAGAACATTGGCCCAATTGTCCCCCTCATACTAACTGTAACATCGTCGAGATGACTTTTCAACGACTATTCTTTGGTCATGCAAATTTAATAATGTGCCCAAGTGTTACTGCGATTACAAGGTATTTTTTAAATATGTAAATAAAATACCAATTAGGGATTTTGCAGTCGTTTGCAACCGATAGCGGAATTGTGCATGTGTGTGTGTTTGTATAAAATGTGAAAGGCAGACCATGAAGATAATTTCGAAAGAAGAAGAGCCAGCAGTATAAATATGGCTGCCAATTGGAGCTGCAGTTTCAGCTTAAGCTGTAAGGCTGTAATGTCGTGTTCGTTCGTGTGTGTTCGCAAATGGCAGATCATCAATGTAAGTTTGAAAGAAGAAGAGCCAACAACGTAATTAAGGCTCCCAATCGAAGCTAGACTTTCAGTTTAATCTGCGCGTCGGTCCGGTAAAGATGGTGCGATATTGTGTTTGTGCGTGTGTGTTTGTCCGTGTGTGTGAAATAAAACGAGCGTGTGAAGAAGAGCCAATAGTATAAATTAGGCTGCCGATTAATGTTAGGCAGCAGCTTAAGGCGTGATGCGGCCCGGTAAAGATCGTGTGTTTAAATGAAGAGCATGCCAGTATTAATAGGGGTGGCAGCTTTAGCATGTGGCTGTAATGTCGTGTTCGTTCGTGTGTGTTTGCAAATGGCAGATCATCAATGTAAGTTTGAAAGAAGAAGAGCCAACAACGTAATTAAGGCTCCCAATCGAAGCTAGACTTTCAGTTTAATCTGCGCCGGACCGACGGTTAAGATGGTGCGATATTATGTTTGTGCGTGTGTGTTAGTGTAGGAATAAAACGAGAGTATGAAGAAGAAGAGGCAGAAGTTTACATTAGCCTGCCGATCAAAGCTGGGCAGCAGTTGAAGGCGTGATGCGGCCCGGTAAAGATCGTGTGTTTAAATGAAGAGCGTGCAGTATAAATAGAGTTGGCAATTTAAGATGGAGTTTCAGCTTAAGCTGCAAGGCTGTAATGTCGTGTTCGTTCGTGTGTGCTCGTTAATGGCAGATTTTCAATGTGAGTTCGTAAGTTCGCGTCGGTCCGGTTATGATTGTGTGACATTGCGTTCGTGCGTGTGTGTGTGTATAGAAAGAAAAAGAGCTTAGCAAGAAGAAGAGCTCGCAGTATAAATAAGACTGCCCACTAAAATCGGGCAGCAGTTGAAGCGGTGGGGCTGACCGGTAAAAATAGTGTGATATTGGCCCGGTCAAGATCGTATATATCGTATGTGTTCGCAAAACATTAAGAAAAGGCAAACTAAAAGAGCAGGCAACATAAATTGGTCTTTCTACGGAGATAAATGTGTTAATTGCACTTGATGGCGATTAAAAAAGCTTGACAAGGTGAGTGCAGAAGTTTGTTTATTATGGTTTATGTAAAATTTCATATTTTTATTATTTACAGGTATGTAGTATTTGCCATTATGGTGCTTTGTTACAGAGTTACCATCTATTGTTGTTGTTGTTTTGAATTTGCAATTTTGCAATTTATTTTAACAGTACATAGAAAAGCAGAAGAAAGGCGGCACAAAAAACATATATTGTTGCGTTTTATGTTGTTTTTAATTGTTTATAGAATTAAATGAACTTTTAAGGCTCATGCGAGGCATTTAGAGAGTAGGGTATCTGATTGCCGCTGCTTTTTTTGTTTGGTCCCAACTTTCGCTTGACAATTTCAACTTGGATTTGTGTGCTTTGGGAGCACTCGGCTAAACTGTGCACCTGAAATGAGGTGCGCGTTGTGTTTCAATATCAATTGAAGTTGGCTTTGCAAAGAAGTTAACCACAGGGCTGCTGACGTGGCGTGAAGGGTAACAAAATTCTTTTTATGCTGCCTCTTGTGGCTGCACATCATTGCGGCACGCCCATACGCCTACATTGCTGCTACTGCTGCTGCTGCTGGTATTGTTGTTGTTTTTGTAATTTGATAATGCATTTGATTAAGGAAATGAAATTTTTATTAAGGCTGTTTGCTTATTCGCTTGCTGGCAGCTCGCGTCGCTTTTATGTTTACCATGCAAGGGTATGGGCGCGTGTGTGTGTCAGCATATATGTGTTTGTGTGCGTGTGTGTGTGTGTGTGCCGGTATGTGTATTGCCATTTTGTTGCCTGTTCCGTTTTGTTTGCCATATTCCACACTTTTCTCTCGCTCGATGCCAGCTACCCTCAAGCTCTGCATTTTTGTTTTCGCATAATTTCTTTGAGTGCGGTTGGATCTCTGCGATTTTACGATGCGACCGCCAGCTCCGCCCCCAACCTGCCGAAGGTGGGCAAGCCTGGATTGCCTGGGAACGGGACTTGGGTTAGCGGGCAACTGTTAGAGCTGCAAGGTATTGTGTGTACGTAACATTTACTTGAATTTTCCCGTTTTACTATTGTGTTCATTTTTATACAATACGCTTCTAGCATTCGCAAGCAACTGCTGTTTTCACAAGCGATGTGGTTTTCTGTTTTGTTTATTTTTTTGATAAAATTTGCATTTGCTTTAAGTAAATAAATAATTTAATTTTTCACACAGTTAGAAAAAGCAAAGTAAGCTTTAATACAATATTGGAAGGCAAAAGCCCAGGAGGAAAATGCATATCAACTTTTATTTACATAGGCTCAAGCGCCTATTTAACATTTATCTCAAAATGTATTCTTTAAAGGTAGCCTTATTGCCTTGGTAACAGAAATATATACAAAGTATATTTACTTATCCTACATTATGCTGCCTATTAAACATTTTATATTATTTAATCGTATACGCACGCTGCATCACATTACAAATTTAAATTTACATACTTAATTTAATCACAGCTTATTTTCTGCTCCACGCAATTCATCTCGTTTCGCGTTGCTCATTTCTCATTGTTTGGCAACTTGTCAACGCGCCTATGGAATAACGGAGTTTATATTCAACACCATGCAAAAAACCAGAACAACAAAAACATCTACTGAAAACCCTAACCCTTCGTGCACTAACTAAGTGCGCTTATTCAACTCCAAAACAAACTTTTGCTATTGTTATTACATTTTGTTTTCTTTATTTATTTTCTTTTTTTTTTGCATAAGGGTTGTCGGTCATTGACTTTCTCTCAACTTTCTGCTTGACATTTAACGAGCAAAACAAGCAACAAAAAAGGGAGGGAAAAAAACTAATAACAGCAGCGAATGTAATTTTAACATGTTAAGTGTTAGAATGAAGCCTACTTTGAGTACTAGACCGCCCCGCTGCCCGCACAAGCCCCTCGCGCCACCAGCGCCACCTCAGCGTATACAGCGGCAGCTTTCGCTATCCTGCTGCTATTCTTCATGTTGTTGTTGATGTTGTTGTTGCTGTTGTTGTTGTAAGTGTTCTCAGTGCTTGCATTGTTTTTGTTGCGTTGGCGTTGCTGTTGTGCCAGCCTCAGACATTGTCCCCGGACAACAAAAGCCGTGTTGATGTTTTTCTTG